AATTAGCAATTTTTGATGAATTTTGCAATTTGTTTTTTAATTCATGGAGCCCACAATCATCCAGATAAGCTTTACACCCTCTTCTAAGACACTGGCTTTTTTTATTTAAAAAGTGCATTCATCTTTCGTACCCACTTTTCTTGACCATCATATCTAACAGTCGTCAGCACGTACCCTTTTTCAGATACACCCCCACTGGGTTCTGGTCTTGGCTTTTCACTTTCAGCAAGCAGGTGAGATGATCAACACGGGTGGTGGCAGGATTATCCCAAGCACCCTGAACCTGTGGTAGACACATCCACAGTGTGTGTTAATTTTTAACACCAAAGAAAGCATAGCCTTTGAGATGTTCATTCTTCAGTGTATGATTAGGAGAGTAAGACCATCTAATTCAGCTGGTTGGATAGCTCAGTGGTTGAAGTATCTGGCTGCAGAACTAGAGGTTGGGAGTTCGAGTCTCCAGTGTGCCTCCTGGGAGAAGAGCCAGCTTGTGGGTCCTTGGGAAAGCTAATTGGTCCCAGGGTTCCCCCAGAAGAAAGAAAAGGGAAACAATTTCTGAGTATTCTCTACCTAGGGAACCCTGAAAAGGTTTGACTTGATGGCACATAATTATTATTTAAGGCAATCTGTATATAATATTCCTGGTTGAGGCTGAAACAGTCATGATGTTCATGCGCTCCACTTTTGTGAGACCAGGGGTTGGCCAAGTGCAGCTTGAAGGCCACATGACGCCTCCTTAACCCCCCTTTTAAGCAATGGAATCTATCACTTTAAAAATCCATCCTTTTTCTTGGTCCACAGCTGAAAAGCAAAATGTTTGTGGGGCAAAACAGACAGGAAGAATCCTGTTAGCAGATGTACAGCACAAAGGCTCCATACACAGGGCACCCTGAGTTTGCTCTGGCAATCCCCACCTTACAGTTACACAAGCCAGAGGTTGCCCCGTTGAGGGAGTTCACTTGTACAAAAGGTTATTATGGGATTAACCTTGGGCTAACATCTGGAAAAAAAATGGAACATAAGTGGAAAACACACAGACACAAGCAGAATTCTGGAAATTAGAAGTGCTGAGGAAGAGTCTAATTGGTGGAGATGTATAAATGCACTACTGAAAAACAAAGGAAAGGAAGTATACAAATCTCCCTTGGTTTGATTGTACATAATTTTAAGCAAATGTGACCAAGTAATAGCTCAGTGGGTTAGACATCTAGACCAATTCCCCCTGGGAGAAGAGCCAGCCTGTGTGGCCTTGGGCAAGCTGAACAGTCCCCGGGTGCCCCCAGAAGAAGGGACTGGTAAACCACTTCTGTGTATTCTGTATCTAGAAAGCTCTAGAAAGAGTCAATATAAGTCAGAATTGACTTGACAGCACATAATTATTGTTATTATTATTTATTAATGTATTAAACTGTTTGAGTGAACCAAAATAGCCGTACCGTCTATCTAACAAAGTTTTGAAATCCAGTATTGGTCAAAACAAAGGTTCTCGTCTATGGACAGTGAATATGTGGCCTTCCAGACATTGTTGCAGTGCATGTCCCATCGTCCCTCATCACTGGCTAGGCACATGGGGCTGATAGGCATTGTAATCCAGCAACATCTGGAGAAACACAGGTTCAGCACTCCTGCCGTAGTCCCCAGACCTTAGGCTAGACTGTCCCAAGGTGTCTCTTTTTCAGGAAAGCAACTCCAAAGAAGAGTCCGACGGCAAGGTACAAATCCTTATTTTATGGACAAACCTGGTGCTGAAAACCTTGATTAATATCTAGTAGGAAGATCTGAGGGGTTAGCCACATTCGTCTATTGCAACGGAAACAGGAAGGAATTTCGTTGACACCTTAAAGACGAACACGTTTTGTGAAACTGAAGACGTGTGTGATAATCCACAAAGCCTTGTAAGAAATAAAACTCATCAGTCTTTACAGAGGGGTGTAACAACAGACTTTTTTTGCTTAACCAAAGGACAAGATGCAGCCATCTTGAATTTAACTTTCCCGTCCCCCACATAGATATATTTGCTTAATTTATGGAAAGCGGAGAGTTAGTAGGCAAGCCAGCAAGACATTTTTCCACAGCTGATCATCACAGTAGATCAGATATCAAGTGACTACATTCAGTTACCATTCCTGAAGCAGAGCAGTTGTAGTTGCTTTCCCGAGCGCTGTACAGGTCACAGCGTGTTTCCGTCCCACTGACAGACAATGTAAGAAACCCACACGATTCCTCCTGCTCACACTCTGAAAGCAGAAAAAGATTCATAATATATTTAATGGGAAGTATTGTATACAAACTAGAGATGGGGACGGATATAAAAACGGATTAGTTTTTCTGACGAATATTGCCGATTCATTAAACATACATTGATCCATATTTGTGATCCGATAGCAGGGTACAAGTCCTCATTTTATGGAGACAAACCTGGCAATGAAACCCTTGATTAATATCTAGTAGGAATATCCAAGGGATTAGCCACATTTGTCTATTGCCACGAATACGTGGCACAAATATGAAGGGACGAATATTTACCTGTTTTTATTCGTACTTCGTATTTAAAACACACACACACACAAAAAGGTGAGTGAACCAGATCCACTGCTACGGTGTGGCAAACAGGGCTTTCAATCCATGTGCTGAAATTTAGAGGTTGGTAGGAACTGGCTCGATAGCTTAATGGTTTAGGTTGTGAGTTCGAATCTCCATTGTGCCTCCTGCAAACAGAGCCAGCCTGTGTGGCCTTGGGCAAGCTGCACAGTCCCAGAGCAAACCCCCCCCAAAAAATGAAAGGGTAAACCACTTCTGTGTTTTCTCTGCCTAGAAAACCCTGGAAAGGTTTCCCATAAGTTGGAATCAATTTGACAGCATACTGTTGTTGTTGTTATTGTTGTTGTTGTTGTTGTTGTTGTTGTTGCTGCTGCTGCTGCTGCTGTTATTTGCTCCTACCAAAAAAGACCCTGCCTTCCCAAGCATGTATATTTCCTCCATCCCCTCTTCCTTCAGAAGAAAACATAAAGCCAGTGGGTTCTATCTGGAATCAACATGGCTATCCTATGCTTGAGCCCAGGTACTCCTCCATTGTCTTCCTACATATTCCGGTCTCACATGACTCAGACTTAACCAATATGTCAGCAAAGCCCTGGGTATCAAAATTCCTGGTAGAGGATAATTACACTCACTGATAATTTGATAAAGATGTCAGCGGAAAGCATGTTAATCTAGAAACTGCACCGTCTCCCTATTGCCTTTGATAGGAAATGGTCCGTTTCACTTCCTCCTGCCTTCGTATTTCTCAGACCACAAGTTCCTTTCATTATGAATATAAAGTAATGTGTAAACATCAGCAAATTCTTCAAAAACAAATCAAATCAAAATTCTGCCCCCTCCCCCACCACCTTCACACCATCCAAATTCGAGAAGTGCATTCTATTGGAGTTTTTATTTATTTATTTATTTATTTATTTATTGGACTTATATACCGCCCCATAGCGCTACAAGCACTCTCCGGGCGGTTTACAATTTTTTTAAAAAAAATAGCAGGCTACACATTGCCCCCCCCCCAGCAAGCTGGGTACTCATTTTACCGACCTCGGAAGGATGGAAGGCTGAGTCGACCTTGAGCCAGCTACCTGGGATTTGAACCCCAGGTCGTGAGCACAGTTTTTAGCTGCAGTACAGCGTTTTAACCACTGTGCCACGAGGCTCAACCTTGCCTTGCAGGCAATCTCTACTAGAGGGACCTTTCTGGGCTAGCTGGAATGACTGCCAATGTATCCAGCACTAATCAATTGTTCCCTCCTGCCCCTGAATTCAGAGAGATTCCCTCCTCTCTGCCCTGTGTTTCTCTTTCCCTGTCTTGAGTCTGTTGAAGTCAGTTGGAAGTCAGTGTTGTTGGTTAGTTTGCTGCTGATCTGTTCAAAACTGAGTAAAGAAAATAGCTTTTGTTCTTTCTTCTTACTAATGTCTCAGATTGAGTTATTGAGACTGTAAATGCCAGTTAATGACAGAATGGGTGGACTAATTTGAGGAACTCAAAACTACTCTGTTTTGTGAATCTCTGCACTTCTGCCACTCAGCTAAATGAATTTAACCAACATTTCCAAACTCTGTAATGCATTTACCCTGGTACAGAGAGGTCTATGATGTACGTACCTGCCAAACAGATATTAATAGTCAGGGGAACCTGAGAAAAAAATAGGTGGCAACACTGAGATGTAATGAGTTTGCATGAATACACAGGGATTCTAACACTCAATGTTCTGGCCTTTGACAGGTAAATCTGTTAGCTCCGTTTCTCTTGCATTTGATTTTTTTTTTAAGTCTCATATTCTTTCCACAGCAAACATAAATATATTGGTGAAATTGGCTCTTCTTTCTTTGTTTGTTACATTTCTAGGCTATCTTCTCCAGGTGAAGGGACACAAGGATTAAAACAAGCTACACTAAAAACACAATACTTTCTGATAGTCCTATCCAGAAGAATATAAGATGACTACAAGGACTGACAATCAGTATAAACACAAAGGATGAGATAGTGGCATGGATTTGAGGTACCAATAATGTATCACCTTACTTTGACCATTCTTTTGAACAAAGAAAACAATTATAAACCGTTCTTGACTGACGGTAGTATGGAGAGCTACCCTGTTTAAGTAAGTAGGAAGGAACTTTCTTACCTGCAACGCACTGTTGGCGAGCACTCTGTGGTTCTCCTTGGATGGCTTGAGAGCTAACAATCTCAACCTCTTCTGTTGTGAAGGAAAGCTTGGTAGCAGGAATCTTCTCAAAACGCCTGAGAACTAACATGAAAAAACATCCAGAAACAGCTATGTTTTACCATCATTTACTGCTTTGTTTGTTATGTCATATTCTGCATTGCCAAGAAGGAGGACACGGTACATGGTCCTTTCGCCATTTTGCACAAGTGACCTAGTGAGATTCATTACGATCATCGTCATCGTCGTCGTCATTGTTGTCATCATCATCATTGTCATCATCATCATCATCATCATCATCATCATCATCATCATCATCATCATCATCATTTTAGAACTGCAGAGCTGGAAGGGACTCTATGAAACATCATGAGCCCTGCCCTTTGCCAAGGAGATAAGATTGGGGAATCAAACTCCCAACATCTGATAACTAAAACACAGAGCTACCCAGCAGTTCATTGGTGAGGTGGAATTTATAGGTGAGTATCATCAGTTCTAGTCCAGCATTTAAGCGATGTAACACTGTGCTTTAACTTGAACACTTTAGCACAGTGGAAAAGCCATTCATTTCATTTTCCTTTACAGTATAGCACCCTAAATTAAGAGTGGTCTTAACCGACCAGATAAGCGGGATATAAATAAAATAAATAAATAAATAAATCATAAAAAACAAAGAACTACCATCATGACAAATCAGCAAATAATAAAGTAATAAAAATGAATGGAAAAAAATTGTCAGTGGTAGCAAGGAAAACAGTGGCTGGAATTCTCTTGTTGCTCACATAAAGGTCGTGCAAATTTCTGTGGCTAATTGTGGCTAATTAAGGACATGCCAGGGTGCATCTTGGTTCTGCAATTGGGGGCATGACTGAGTTGCCTCCAATCACCTCATCAATTAGCTGCGGCAGGCTAAGCAAGCATGCAAACTCCAATAGGATCCGGACCAATCTCCTATGATACACAGGACCACTAAGAGGACACAGCAGATTTAAAATTCAGTGGCTCAAGATTGCACAGTCCTAAAATAGCCTGAGGGGGAAAAAGATAAGCTTCATCTTGTGCTGAAAACAGTGTAATAGCACAGTGGAGGAGAGAGAGACTGATGTTTCCCAGCCTGGGGAGCTACACAGACCCCTTTCTCACCTCCACCTACTGAACTTCAGTTGAAGAAAGGCCTCAAAAGATGGTCTCAGCTTTGTCAAAATCCAACTGAGATAAGCCACACAAATGGAAATATTTGTGTAGCGTTTTTCTCTCTCCCCCCAATAGACTGTCTATCACACAACTGAGTGGGAAAAGTAGGGTTCATGACTCTTCCCCTCCCCACACTATTCTCACAACAACCCTGTGAGGCAGGTCGACCTAAGGGAGAGGGCTTGGTTCTTGGTCACCTGCTGAATTCTCTGGCTAACGTAGGATTTCAACCTGGATTTCCCAAGTCCCAGTCCAAAACTATAACCACTGTGCCATGCTGGCTCTCTCCTGACAAAGAATCCTAGGGAACATAAATGCTTGCCTAGGATTGTGAAGACATTGTGTGACTGCGGATGGAGAAGGGTGGCTCATGGACCAGGACATATATTTTTACTTTCAGTTTCATCACAAAGTTATTCAGCACTTGCTAAGCCACAAGAGGGAAAACCCCACAGGACAGCTGCACCTTCTCTTGTTAGCCTCCTGCCTTCTCCAATTTTTTCTTTAAAATAATGGGTTGGCTTCTTCTTCTACACTGCCTTGGAGGTTGGGAGTTCAATTCTCCACTGTGCCTCCTGCAAATAGAGCCATCCTGTTTGGCTTTGGCTAAGCTGCATAGTCTTAGGACACCCCCCAGAAGAAGGAAATGGTGAACCACTTCTGAGCATTTGCTATTTGGAAAACCTGGAAAAGATCACCATAAATCGGAAAGGACTTGACAAGACGTGATTCTTCTTCTACTGAAGAAGCCCATTTTCACCCTCTAGTGGCCAAAACTGTGAAATAAGAAGAAGAACTAGGGATAAAGGAGTGGGGACCCCAGAGACCATGGGATGCCCTCAAAGCATGGCAACATAGTCCTCTACCTCATAGAGGACACGTGGTTAATGTTTGAGCCAAAAATGTTGCCGTTGGGTGGCAGGGGTTGCTGGGTACCATATTTGTACACCCAGGGTTCCAACTTGCCTGCCTCTGTGTCAGGCATGAGGGCTGATGTAGTTCCCCAGACATTGTTAAACTCCAGTTTCCTTTACTCCTGAGCACTAATCCTGCCAGGTACAGCTGATGGGAACTAGGAGCTCCCAAACCTCTGGACCGCCATAGATTTCCCAGCCTTGTGACAGGGAGACACTTTGCCCAGTGACACTCCTGTTTTCATGAAGTGTGTCACTGTGGAGCATTCCCTTTTATTCCCTGCTTGTCGGTTTTGTACATGTGCTAGCATAAGCCTCAGATGGTGCCTCTCAGATGCTATCTTAACAAGCACAAATCTGTTTCTACTCTTATTATTAAAAGGCAAGCGATCTCGGGCCTCTGTTTTGTTTTGAATTATTTCATGCCTCAAAGCCACAGTCATCCTTGCATAACTGTAAAATGATGGAATAACTCCACAAAACATGAACTTGCACCTCCAGCTTGCTCCTCAGGCATGTCCTCTTCTAAAAAGAAGAAAACTTGAGCAGAAAGGAACATGTTATCTATACAACATGTGGAATCTCTGGGAAATCAGGCCGTCTTTAGCAGTATCTAAACCATGCGGTTGGATTGAGATAAGGGCCCATCGCTATGTCCCAGAAAGAGATTCATTGTGGGGTGACAATGAAAATCTCAGTGTGTGGGAAGGTCATGATGATGAACTATTACAGCTGCTGTCTAAACACCCTGCTCTGGAACAAATTAGGGCTGTAAGATCATTTCCGGTGGAGGCAGAACAGCTGGGAACAGAGCAAGTGTCAAATCTGGGTTTTCTTGATGTTGTTGGACATTAGCCAATCAGCTAGGCAAGCCAATGGTCAGGAGGATTCTGGGAGCTTGCTCATCCTTGAACAAAGATCATGGTCTCCAACTCACGACCCTAGGATTTATTGTTCCTGTTCAGTTTAGCTGCAATACTCAGAGTAGCAAGGGAGAAATGGATTTTTCCTGGAATTCCCGAGCTGGTGATTTTAAGCCGTTTGAGGACATGTAACAGTTCTCCTTTTTTATTTTGGTATACAACAGTGGTCCCTAATCTTGGGCCACCAGATGTTCTTGGACTACAACTCCCAGAAGCCTTCACCACCACCTCTGCTGGCCAGGATTTCAGGGAGTTGTAGTCCAAGAACATCTGGAGGCCCAAGGTTGGGGACCACTGATATACAATGTCCAATCTGTCCATGTAAAATCCATGATCCTAAGCACCTGAATTCAGAGCCAGAGGTTGGGAATTTTATTCCACACTGTACCTCCTGGGAGAAGATCCACCCCATGTAGTCTTGGGGCAATCTCAAGGTGCCCCCAGAAAAAGGCAGTGGTAAACCACTTCTGAGTACTTTTTGCCTTGAAAACCTGGAAGAAGCCACTGTAAGTCAGAAATGACTGGATGGTATGTAATTATAAGTCTGCACTGTTCTTTTTGCAAACACATTATTCTATACCTGTGAGCTGGTGAGAGCGTGAGTTTCTTTTCTGGAATACAGCTCTGAGAAAACATTCAGGCAGTATGACTACCAATGGAGGATTCTAGGGTTCTGAGTCCAAAAATGTAACTGGCGACACCAGCTTGGGAATCTAGGAAGTTGCAGCAGAAGAAAGCAATTCTCCAAAAATGTTGAGGCTGATCCTAACTCATTTGGTATTATAAAGTCCAATGGGTGTGCACAAGCATCCATGTACACCTACATGTGAGTGCACTTAAATAGTATGGATCTACATTAGAGGTGGCCACGAACCATGAGTTTGGTGGTTCATGCTGATTCATGTTTCTGCAGAGCAGGTGTTCAGTGCTTCCCAACTCCTCCTCCTCCACCAGGCACCTAATCAGAGGCAGTGCTCCAGCTTCCCTGCCCACATCGTCCAGGCACTTCCTCTGATTGGGTGCCCAGCAGAGGAGGCGGAGCTGGAAAACGTTAAATGTTTGTTCAGCCAAAAAGCAAGCTGGCACGAACTAGCGGTTCATGGCCGGCAGCTTATCTGCATCAATGCCTGTGTTCTCTGGAGACGATCGCGATCTTTATTTCATTTGTGTCAGAAGCACCAACTACAATTAATAATTGTATCAAACAATTTTAGTCAAATAATGGACAATATCAGGAGCATTCGGGAAACCCAACATCATTTCGTCCACAGTTTATGCTGAGGAGTAAAGTTTACTGTGACAAAGAGGTGGTCTTGCCTACTCTTATCCACATTTGCAAAGGAGTGGGATGATGCAATGATCCCATTTTCTTAGCTTCCCCTTGTTCTGCCAGCTCTTCCCCTTAGCCTATCAAGTGACTCCAAAGTAATCTAGTTCCCTCTGTGACCGAGGACTATTTTCTTGGGTTTGCTTTCAATTTCAGACATTGGTACTTCTCTCTTTCCACATTATAGTTTTCAAGGATCATATCACCCTTTATGAAACTTCTTAGCTCTTAAGATCTTCTAGGGAGGCCCTTCTCTTGGTTCTACCACCTTCCGAAGCTCGCTTGGCGAGGACTTGAAAGACAGCCTTCTCAGTGTTTGCTGCCAGGTTTTGGAATGCATTCCCCTGGCTAGCCAGGTTGGTCCCCTCCCTCTTGGCCTTCCACTATCAGGCAATCATCTTCTCCTTCAGGCAAGCCTATAACCAATTAATTAGGCATCTCAGGAATGTTTTGCTTAACGAGTTAGAGATTTTGAAGCTCACTTGGCGAGGACTTGAAAGACAGCCTTCTCAGTGTTTGCTGCCAGGTTTTGGAATGCATTCCCCTGGCTAGCCAGGTTGGTCCCCTCCCTCTTGGCCTTCCACTATCAGGCAATCATCTTCTCCTTCAGGCAAGCCTATAACCAATTAATTAGGCATCTCAGGAATGTTTTGCTTAACGAGTTAGAGATTTTTTAATTAAAAAATTCTTACAACTGTTTTTAATCATGGTTTCAATCTTGAGACATGTTTAATTGTTTTTAATATGAGATTTATATATATTTATTTTTAAACGGTTAATTGTTTCACAGTTTAGTTGTTGGGAGCCACCATGAGTCCCCAGTTAGGAGAAAAGCAGTGTATGACTAATAGCAATTAATTAATGAATTCTCTGCTATTCCTTTAAGTTTTACAGAGGTTCTGGGGAAAAAACTTCTCCTTGATTTTCATCTGGGACAAGTGGGAGACTCCCTGGAGAATGTTAATTTATTTGGGTGTCTCCTGGCATAGGATAGCACCTGTTGGCCAGTCCTTTCGCTGAGGTGGCTACCAAGATGAGCACTTGGCTATCAAAACGCACCACTCCACTCCTACTCTTTTTCTGTCTCTCACTCGCACACACTCTCCAGCTCCCCTCAATAGCAGCTAGAGGTCAAGGAACAGACATGAAAACAAAGCATCTAATAGTTTGTTGTAGGGTTTTTTGGGCTGTTTGGTTGTGTTCTGGAGGTTTTTCTTCCTAACATTTTGCCAGTCTCTGTGGCCGGCATCTTCAGAGGAAAGGAGTTAGAACTCTGTGTTCTGGTGTAGTGTGTGGGATGGCTGAGTATTTGTAACTGTGAGGTCAGCTTTTTGTCCTTTTCAGGAGATTGGGTGATTATGGTGATCACACACTACACCAGAACACAGAGAGAGTTCGGACTCCAGTCCTCTGAAGATGCCGCCCACAGAGACTGGTGAACCAGTAGAAAGAAAAACCTCCAGAACACGGCCAAACAGCCCAAAAAACCTACAACAACCATTGGATCCTGGTCGTGAAAGCCTTAAAGAATACAAAGCATCTAATACTCTGCTACAGAGTACAGCATCACTGGTAGGTGCTAAGGCTTACTATGGCAGTTATTATTATTACTTTCAATATAAACAGCCTTCAAAACACTTCAGAATGTTCTCTCCTTCTGCCAAAAAATGTATTCCTAGCTACTCATCTGGAACGCATATCTTTTTACAGCTTCTCCCAAATTAATGCCAAATGTTCCATTAAGAACGTGTCAAGACAGAAATTCAAAGAGGCTGGAGGTTGCCAGCTTGGTCCCAAAGGATCAGAGATACCAAGTGAAATAACACTTATTAAAGCAATTAAGGCCTGTTGCATCTTGGTACTTAGAGCAGCTTTCACTTTTTTCCACTCTTCCCTGCAGAGAAAGGAACTCTACATACTATGATTTTTTTAAAAAAAGGACATGCAATTAATACTTTTAAAAATGTGTGACTCACCCTAGACAAAAACTTGGGTATGCTATTTGTATGGATTACACCCCACCCCCAGATCCTTCAGCTAGAATGCTAATGTATAAAGTATTAGCTCAGCGGAAAGGGGCGAGACTAAGAAAGAGCAGGGTTGTGAATAAGAAGTTGGAATCAGAAAGAGCGGGCAAGCTGAAGAAGCTGGACCTGCCATTGTCACTTGAACTACTGAGATCCTTCCAACTTGGTTTAGGTATAATTCCTTTATGTTTTAGAAGAGGTAGCTTTGTTAGTCTGTGCTAGCATACCAGTCAAAAACAAAAGAAAGAGAGAAAATAAAGAAGCCAAAAAGATTGTGACAACTTAAAGACTAACTGCTATATTTTAATGTGAGCTTTCATGGACAGATCTACTTCCTCAGACTAAAGGAGTTAGTTTTTAGGGTGCCACAGCCTTTTTTGAGTTCTTTATTTTATATTTTTTTCCTTTGTTTGTGCCTGATATCCTATATATTTGTGTTGGAATGCTGAATCCAATTGAATACAATTGAATTGCTATTTTACTTTAGGGTTTTGAAGACTGCATGTGGAGTTTGTTCTTCTAGGTATTGACATAAAAGCATGTGATTATTATTATTGGGAATGAGCCCAGTGAGTAGCATGGCATTGGGTGGGAACTTGAGCCTGGAGCCCCTTCACTCCAAGAATGCAATCAATACACTACGCTGATTCTCTCCCCCACAGATGGGTTGAGAAATACAAAGCATCATCCTACACCTGTTCAGTTATGGGTGGCTTCAGTGCATCATTACAGGGAGGTGAAGGCAACATGTTGACTAGTGTGTCAGCAGCCTCTTCCTGCTTCCCCCCCCAAAAAAAACCCTCTAAAGTCACATATCCAGAGTGAAGGAGAAATGACAGGCAAGACAAGCATGGACTGGAAATGGGGAATCTTGCATTTTTGGAGTAAAACTCCCACAAAAGATATCCTTTGATTTGTATTCCTGCATTGAGCAGGGGGTTGGACTTGATGGCTTTATAGACCCCTTCCATCCTCATGATTCTATGGCTCTAATTAAAGATGGGGGTATTCGTATTCGTATACGGGATATTCGTATTTGTATACGAATACCCTGGCACAGGTGGACATAATGAAGCCTTCCAATGGATCCGAAGAGTGCGTTTGGCTCACCACTCTTTGATCTAGCAGACAGGCTTGTCATCATGCCTCCTGCCAGGAGTGGCAAGCCAATCGTCCTCTCTGGAGCCATTGGAAGGCTCTGCAGCAGCCGCAGCAGATTGGTGCGTGGACCGTCCAGCCCCAGGGGGGCTGGACCCTCGTTATGTCCACCTGTGTGGGGATATTCGTATATGAACACGAATACCCCCATCTCTAGTTGTAATCCCAAAGCCAGGAGAACTACTGTGGGATTTCAGGAATTATTTAGTTCAGATAAGCAAGATTTTCAATCTCTGCAAGGAATTTACCATATTCCTGAGTAGACTTCCAGCTTTTTGAACAGTTTGAACTTCCTTATAGCTGGCAAGTGATGAGCTAATAGTCTCCAGAATCCACCCTAACGTATCTTCACGAATGCATCTGGTTGGGTCAAGGTTATGCCTCAATTGAAGAAGGCCTTATTCCAAAAACTCACCTAAACATTGGGAGTCAGTAAGCGGGCCCTCCGTTTCTGTCCACTCCAATATCTCTCCCAGGCTGTCGACACAGAATGATTTGTTGGTGGCTGAGTCTTCATAAGAAGGCCTGTACTGTCCAGTTTCATCACATGGCACACCTCGCTTATCCCGTTGGCAGTTTGTAAGACCTGGCACAGAAAGTCAGAAGGTGAAAGTGTTGAAATACATTCCTGGGATATGCTATATACCCTGATATGGGCCTCCTGGTTTCCAACCTCAGAAAGGTGTACTTGTGGAATGAAGTGGGAAAGTATATTGGTGAGTTCTCATGATGTAATTGATGATGCTCAATAACAGTTGGGGAGGAGTGTCTGCTTTTCCATATATGTACAGGATAATCTTTTACAAAGAATTTCCCACTTCTTCTAGAAGAAATGTTTTGAAGAGTCCTCTACGCTATCCATAAAGGGCTGGTGCTCAGCCTGATGAAGTGGGATTCTTCCGTGAAAGCTTGCAATTTGTTTGATTTGTTAAATGGTCCAATAAAAGGTACCACCCACTCTTGTATTTTTCAGACTACATCCCCCAGAATCCCCAGCTAGGTCAAGCATATTCTTTCCAACCTTTGTAGTTTTTTGTTTTGTTGGCCACTTCCTTGTTCTTCTTCTATGCATAAGATTATTTTGGTTTTCTTTTTTTTAAAAAAAATGAACTGGAAGTGTTATTTTCGGACTACACCCCCCCAGAATCCCCAGCTAGGTCAATCATATTTTTTCCAACCTTTGTAGTTTTTTGTTTTGTTTTGTTTTAAAATAAGCAAAATCAGAGACAACCCTGTTGGCCATAAAACAAACTTAAATATCTATAGCACCATAATGTCTGTTGTTACATCAACCAGAATGCTGCCACCTCGTTATCCATCATTTCTGCAAGTGAATGTTTTCAGCTGTTGGACAGAATCCTGCTAGCAATCGCGGAATGTAACTGTTCTGCAGACATAGTGCTTCCCAACAGCTGTAGGGATTCCCAGCTTGCAGTTACACAAGCCAAAGACCACTCCATTAAAAACAATGGGATTTAACTACAGTGGACCCTTGACTTACAGACGGCTCGACTTACAGACTTACAGAATGTAACTGTTCTGTAGACATAGTGATCCCCAACAGCTGTAGTGATTCCCAGCTTGGAGTTTTTAACTCCATTAAAAACAATGGGATTTAACTATGTACTAGGCTCACAACAAGCCATTGCACGCATGAAAAAACAAGCATAACTTTGCCCAGGAACCCGTTTCTGTGATTTCCCCAAGAAGATGCAGACTATGGTTTCTGAAGGATCCTTACAATGCTCAGCATGGAAAGCTCCCACAGAGCAAGGCTCACAACAAGCCACTGCATGCATGGAAAAAACAAGCACAACTTTGCCCAGGAACCTGTTTCTGTGATTTCCCCAAGAAGATGCAGACTATGGTTTCTGAAGGATCCTTACAATGCTCAGCATGGAAAGCTCCCACAGAGATGGTTGATTTCCCAAGAGGACACTTCAAGCAGATCAAACTTCCTGCCTGGTCTTGATAGAATCCAGAAGGGCATGGAACGCAGCTGTCGTTCTGGGAGAAGGTTCCTGGAGGACAGACCACTGCAAACAGAAAATAGGAGGGCATTTTATTACTCTCGGGGAATTCAAACAGTATTTTAAATTTGCCCAGGTGTTCCAGCTGGAGAAATCTGTTGACTCATCAACGTGCCTCTAACATTAAATGCTCGTGA